GGCACGTGTAAAATATGCAGGGTAGACTGGCAAGCTGGAGACCCAAGAGAGCCAATGTTCCAAAATGTGAGTCTGAAGGTAGTCTGCTGAAGAACTAGCGAGAGCTGATGTAGCAGATGAAGTCCAAAGACAGTCTACCGGAGAATTCTCAATTGCTGAAGGAGGTGGATCCTTTTTATTCTCTTCAGGCTTTAACAGATTGGATGAGGCCCGTTCACATTTTGAAAGGCAATCTCTTTTATTTAAAGCCCATCAATTTAAATATTACTCTCCTCCAAAAACACCCTCACAGAAATATCCAGAACAATGTTTGACCAAATACCTAAGCACCACATGATCCAGCCAATATATAAAATTAACCATCATACATACCATGGAGTATTATGCTGTCTTAAAAGGAAGGAAATCTGGTCACATGCCACAACATGTATGAACCTTGAGGACATTATGCTAAGTGAAATAAATCAGTCACAAAAGTACAATGATAGGATTTCACTTAAAATATGAGGTAACTAAATGCAGGTTAAGTGCCTGACATTAAGCTTCTGATTGCCAAGACATCCATTTCAAAGATACCACCTTGAATAAACATATTGCCAAGGTATATGACACAGACATTAGGTAAAGCAACCAGATTAGGAACTAGGTCACCAGTGAAGTTCCCCTTATAGAAAAATGCTGGGTGACGTAGATAACTGACCACTTAAATGATCCTGCTTCCACTCTCCCATGCCCTCATTTCTGCTCTTATGCTTCAAATTAGCCAATAATGAGAGACCCCTCAAAACCCCAGACATTCCACCTGCAGACCCTAATGAAGTCAGAGCCCCAGCTCCTCCATCTCTGTCTGCTTGGGACCTTAACTTGTATCATGTACCCTCCAGGACTTGAAGTAATAAATCCTGTTCCTCAAAATTCCCTGATTTGTTTTTGCTTAGGTGCATCCTGTGATGATTAAGAACCAAAACCAGGGGCACCTGGGTGGATCAGTGGGTTAAAGCCTCTGCCTTCGGCTCAGGTCATGATCCCAGGGTCCTGGGATTGAGCCCCACATCGGGCTCTCTGCTCAGCAGGGAGCCTGCTTCCTCCTCTCTCTCTGCCTGCCTCTTCACCTACTTGTGATCTGTCTGTCAAATGAATTAAAAAAAAAAAAAAAAAAAAACAGTCACAGCCCCGAACCCCCGCGGGGAAAGTATCAGTGGAGCCGGCCATCAGAGAGGCCCAGGCGAGTGCCTCAGGTATTCCTAGCTGACACCAATCACCATCAAGAGGTGGGGTGGAACACAGCACTTAAGTAGTCAAACTTCTAGAAATAGGAAGTAGAATGATGGTTAATAAAAGCTGGGAAGGGGGAGTGCCTGGGTGGCTGAGTGGGTTGGGGCCTCTGCCTTCAGCTCGGGTCATGATCCCAGGATCCTGGGATCGAGCCCCACATCAGGCTCTCTGCTCAGCGGGGAACCTGCTTGCCACCCACCCCACACTCTGCCTGCCTCTCTGCCTACTTGTAATCTCTGTCAAATAAATAAAATCTTAAAAAAAAAAAAAAAAGAGGGCAAAAGGACTTGTTCAATAGGTACAGAGTTTTAGGGTACCTGGGTAGCTCAGTCAGTTAAGTGTCTGCCTTTGGCTTTGGTCATGATCCCAGGTTCCTGGGATCAAGCCCCATATCAGGCTCCCTGCTCAGTGGGGAGCCTGCTTCTCCCTCTTCCTGTTCCCCTGCTCCTCCCCCTGCTTGTGCTCTCCAGCTCTCTCAAATAAATAGTCTTTTTTTTAAAAATGGCTAAAATGGTAATTTTTATATTATACATATTTTACCCAGTAAGAGAGATAGTCAACTAAATCTAATATGTAGGCTTTATTCAGATCTCAATTCAAATTAAATAACTATAAGATAATCAAGAAAATATAAATGGTGTCTAGATATCTAATGATATTAAACTATTGATTTGGGGGAGTTATATTAGTAAACAGTGACTATGTAATAAAAACAGAGTTCTTAACTTCCAGAAACACATACTGAAATATAAATATATAAACATGTTCTCAGAGATTGGCTTCAAAATAATTTCAAGCTGGGGTGAGGACCAAGACTAGACCCAAGGCTAGCTAAGGGTCAGTAATACTGGAGAAAAAGTGATGGGTTCAGAGCAGTACATTACCCTGTTTCTCTAATTCCGCTTATGTTTGAAAAAAAGGGGTTTTTTGGTTTTCTGTTTTTAACGAATGGCATCTTTGAATTAAAGAAACAGTAACAGTGCTATCCCATCACGGAGCAATGCTCTCGGGTACTACTGAGACCACTGGTCCTAATGTCCTGTGGCAGGCAGAATGGCCTAAGATACATCCACATCAAAACTAGTAGAGCTTGTGAACAGGTTAGTTTATGTCCCAAAGGGGTTTTAGAGACATGATTAAGGACACAGACTTCGACCTGGGGGTACCACACCGCAATATCCGAATGAGTCCAATATAATCACTAGAGTCCTTTAAAGCAGAGAACCTTTCTGGTCTGCAATTAAGAGAGAAGAGTTGGAGGAGAGATCTGAAGCATGACAGGGACTGGCTCTAAAGACAGAGGAAGGGGTCTCGAGCCAGGAATGCCAGTGGCCTCTGGAAGCTGCGAATGGCCCTCAGCTGAAAGCCAGCAAGGAGATGGAGACCTCAGTCCTACAACTGCGAGGAACTAAATTCTACCAACACTCTGAACAAGCAAGGATGTGTGCGGTCTCTTACAACCTCTCCAGAGAGGAACACAGCCTGCTGACACCTTGAATTTTAGGCTGGAGAGACCCAGGTTCCGCTTCTGACCTACAGAGCTGTAAGGTAACGAATGTGTTCTTTTAAACTGCTAAATGTATGCTAATCTGACATGGCAGAAATGGAAAGCCACACGTGGTCCAAAACATCTAGGACTTTTTTTTTTTTTTTAAGATTTTATTTATTTATTTATTTATTTATTTGACATGGAGATAGAGAGATCACAAGTAGGCAGAGAAGCCGGCAGAGAGAGAGGGGGAAGAAGGCTCCGTTCTGAGCAGAGAGCCCGATGTAGGGCTCATTCCCAGGACTCCGAGATCACGACCTGAGCTGAAGGCAGAGGCCCAACCTACTGAGCCACCCAGGCGCCCCAAATGTCTCTGACTTTTAATGTTTCCGTCTGCTTTCTACATTTTTTCCCTACTGTCCTTTGGTGTAAGGCTATAGGCTATGACTGCTGCTTATTCACCACTTCATATGTACTATGGCAGTGGGAAGCAAATACACGTTCGCTCATTCAGTCAACACCAATAAGCAGCTATCCCAGCAGTCCCTGCTCTGTATCAAGCAGGCGGCAAGCTGGACACTAGGGCTGTCATGGGGACCAGCTTAAGAGACTGGTGTGTGTACCCAGACCTACAGGGGCACCCACACTGGCTTCATCTACAGCACCCAGACTCCAACCAAACACAATCAGCCATGAGTGCTGGGTGGAGCTAGTCTTCTCAGGCTGCAAAGTTTCTCAGATAATTGGTACCAGCAATTTGCTGGTTCTAAAACCCAAAGCAGGAGACATACAAGCTGCGTAGTTAAATGTGCATCTCCCTTGGCCCAAGACTTCAAAAACCAGCAGGGATGTGGCCTGGGAATCTGCATTTTATCGGGCTCTTCGACTGATTCTTAGGCATCCCTAAGCTTGAGAAGCAAGCCACAGTGGAGTCTGGGGGCCTAACTCCATTTTTCTGGGAGTAACAAGGCTGAGTAAGGGCTGCAAAGTCGGTAAGTAAAAACTTGTCTAAAAACAAAAGTTCAGGGGCGCCTGGGTGGCTCAGTTGGTTAAGCAGCTGCCTTCGGCTCAGGTCATGATCCCAGCGTCCTGGGATCGAGTCCCGCATCGGGCTCCTTGCTCGGCGGGGAGCCTGCTTCTCCCTCTGCCTCTGCCTGCCATTCTGTCTGCCTGTGCTCTCTCTCTCTCTCTCTGACAAATAAATAAAATCTTTAAAAAAAAAAAAAAAAAAAACCCCAAAAGTTCAGGGGGAAAAAAAAATACAAACATCTAACAGTAACTGTTTTGGTGACTGAAGAGGTAAAATGCGGAGTATACAATTAAATTTACAGACTATCCTCAAACATGTAAAAATTAAGAAGTTAGTTTGTGGGGCGCCTGGGTGGCTCAGGCGATAAGCCTCTGCCTTCGGCTCAGGTTATGATCTCAGGGTCCTGGGATCGAGCCCCGCACTGGGCACCCTGTCAGCGGGAAGTCTGTTTCTCCCTCTCCAACTCCCCCTGCCTGTGCTCCATCTTACTGTGTGTGTGTGTGTGTGTGTGTGTGTGTGTGTGTGTGTGTGTGTGAGAAATAAATAAATAAAAATCTTATTGAAAAAAAAAAGAGAGAAGTTGGTTTGCAAGTTTCTCTAGCAACATAATAAAGAGCATTAAGAGCATGTACCAAGAAATGCTCAAGAGTGGGCTTACAGAAGATTTGCACTTTTTTTAAGGTAACGAATGTTACCTTACCAAATGTTACCTTACCAAAACTTAAATGAATGTTATACATTTCAGTATTGTTTGAAAAATTAAAAAGTATTTACTATACTTCTTAAGCATCTATATTCCAAAATAAAAAATTTAAAGAACGTGTTACTTCTGCTCTTAGAAGACTGAAAAAAATGTCATTTTGTAAGTTATATAAACTAAAAGTAAAATCAGCAACAACTGCTAAAATTAAATTTTTTTAAAGATTGTATTTATTTATTTATTTGACATAGAGAAAGATCACAAATAAGCAGAGAGGCAGTCGGGGCGGCGGGGGGGGAGCAGGCTCCCCACCAAGCAGAGAACCCAATGTGGGATTCAATCCTAGGACCCTGAGATCATGACCTGAGCTGAAGGCAGAGGCTTTAACCCACTGAGCCACCCAGGCGCCTCTAAAATTAAATCTTGACATCTTCATCTAATTTTGCTATTTTACCCTGGGAACACGTAAAAACCAATACACGTATTTAAAAAATATTTCACTTTACCTTTTAGCTACCGAAGATCTTCCATATTGTCTTCTGTGAAGCCTGGCAGATGAAGACATCTTAAGTCCTAGGAAAATAAATTGAGGATTTTTTTAGGATTAAATCAGAAAACCATTTTACAATCAATAGCAGTGTGAAACATTCACAAGCAGCAGTGCTTGCTTCCAACCTCCACCCATAACAACTCTTCAAGCAAACACAATAATGAAGACCAGCTTAATCACAACCCTAAAATACCCTCCCAACTCTATTTCTCAGCTAAAGAAAAAGTCGAAGTCAACACATCATCTAGGGAAGTTACAAGGGGCACTGGCAAAAATGCTCACAGATTGGAGGAAAGGAAAAGAACTAAGTATGATTTAAAATGCACAGTGGCAAGGTGAAATAAACAAATGAAACAAACTTGATCTCACTGATTTCAGTTCCACTTTGGTGTCCTGTCTTCCTTTAGAACCAGTGATGCTTGACAAGGAGACATGGCAAAGGCAAACGACCACAAAACACACAGTCCAGGTTTGGAGCCAGAAAGGATAGTTTTCTTTTCCTTAATGAACTGATTTGTGCATTACCTACACTGAAAAGATGCTGAGATGTCTATGACTAAAGAGAGAACAAATAAACCATTAAAATAAGGAGAAAAAGGGCGCCTGGGTGGCTCAGTGGGTTAAAGCCTCTGCCTTCGGCTCAGGTCATGATCCCAGGGTCCTGGGATTAAGCTCCACATCGGACTCTCTGCTCGGCAGGGAGCCTGCTTCCTCCTCTCTCTCTGCCTGACTCCTTGTGATCGCTGTCAAATAAATAAATAAAATCTTTAAAAATAAATAAATAAATAAAATAAAATAAGGAGAAAAAGAAGCACCAAAATAACGAACTTTTCTATTATTTTTTTAAAGATTTATTTGAGGGAGAGCACACATGTGCACGCGCACGCAGACATGCGCGCAGGCGCACACAAGCGCGGTGAGGGGGAGGGGCACAGAGAGATTCCCAAGCCGACTTCACCTCAAGCACGGAAGCCTGATGTGGGGCTCCATGGCACATGAGATTAAGAGTCAGCTGCTCAAATGTCTGTGCCACCGAGGTAACCCTCCATTATTTTAAATGATATAATTCACACACCATAAAATTCACCCTTTTAAAGTTAAATTTTATGGTGTTTTTTAGTACCTTCACAAAGTTGTGCAACCATCACCACTTCTGAAATTCCAGAACATTCTCAGCATTCTCCCTCCACCAAAAAAAATTCCAACAGCAGTCACTCTCTATACTCTCCTCCTCCCAGCCTCTGGTAACCAATCATGAACTTCCAGTCTTTTCGGAATTATGTTATTTCAGACTGTGATATATATGGAATGTCCTCTTTTCTGTCTGGCTTCTTTCATATAGCATGCTTTGGGTTGTTGTAGGATGCATCAGTATTTGTTCCTTTTATGGCTAAATACTATTCCACTGTTTGGATATACCCTTGTTCATCCATTCACCAGTGGAGGGTCCTTCGGGTTGCTTCCATTTTTGGGTTATTATGAACAATGCTGCTATGAACATATGTGTAACAGATTTTTGTGTGAACACATATTCAATCTCTTGGGTACGCACTTAGGAGTGGAACTGCTGGGTGATAGGGTAATTATGTTTAACTTTTTGAGGAACAGCCAGACTGTTGGCCACATATGCTGTACTATTTTATTTTACATTTACATCAGTAATACCGTACATGAGAGTTTCAATTTCTCCCCAACCTTGCCAACACCTGACATCAACCTTAAACAGGAAGACATTCTGTGCGGATCATAAGCACGAGCATGACAGCTACTCTCAACACAACTGCAGGCCCCCAGCTTCCACAAGTACTCTTTCTTACACGGACTTGATCTAACAGGCTGAGGAAAGCCCTGTAACCTCCTTCTCCTCTACTCTCCCTCAATCACGCTATCCCACCACACAGAAGACAGACCAACTGCCCACAACCCAGAATCTCACTTGATCCAGTGGATTACCCCAGTGTAAAAACTTCAGAATGAGATTAAAGTAAGTGGAGAAGGCAGAACAATGCAAATAATTTCAACAAGACATACTGAAGGAAACGAGAGTCTTATTTCATCCAATTCCCAGCATGGTTCTAGCACTGTCCATCCTAGAAGACTGTAATGTTCAACATAAAGATGGACATGTTTGATTACACCATAACCAATAATCAACTAAAAACTGATCACAGACCTAAATAAAGAGTCAAAAGTATACAATTCTTAACTTTTTAAAATATTTTATTTGTCAGGGAGAGCGAGCGAGTGCACAAGGGGGGGGCCGTGGGAAGCAGAAGGAGAAGCAGGTTCCCTGCTGAGCAGGGAACCCGATGTGGGGCTTCATCTGGGGACTCCAGAATGGTGACCTGAGCTGAAAGCAGATGTTTAACCTACTGAGCCACCCAGGTGCCCCTACAAATATTTTTTTTAATGGTGTCTTTTAAGGCACAAAATTTTAAAGTTTTGATAAAAATCAACTTGTCATTTTTTTTTAAGATTTTACTTATTTGACAGAGAGAGATCACAATTAGGCAGAGAGGCAGGCAGAGGGGGAGGGGGAAGCAGACTCTCCACTGAGCAGGGAGCCCGATGCGGGACTTAATCTCAGCTGGGATCAGGACCTGAGCCTGAAGGCAGAGGCTTAACCCTCTGAGCCACCCAGTTGCTCCTAAATACATAAAATCTTAAAAAATAAAAAAAGGAAGAAAGATAATACAAAGAGGAAATCTTTAAAACAAAAATATTTGTAAATCTTGTATCTGATAAAGACCTTGTGTTCAGGACATATAAGGAACTCTTACAATTCAATAATAAAAAGAAAAATAATGCAATTTTAAAGCGAGCAAATGGGGAAGCCTGGGTGACTCAGTCGGTTGAGCTGCTGCCTTTGGCTCAGGTCCTGATCCCAGCTGGGATTAAGTCCCGCATCGGGCTCCCTGCTTGGTGGGGAGGCTGCTTCTCTCTCTGCCACTGCCTGCCACTCTGCCTGCTGGTGCGCTCTACCTCGCAGGAGCTCGCTCTCTCGCTCTCTCTCTCTGACGAATAAATAAATAAATAAATAAAATCTTTAAATAAGTAAAACGGGCAAATGATTTTTTTTATTTGATTTGATTGATTGATTTTAGAGAAATAGCACAAGAAGGGGGAGGAGCAGAGGAAAAGAATCAAGCAGAGTCCATACTGGCCATGGAGCTCAACTAGGGGGTCAATCCCAAGACCCTGAGATCATGACCTGAGCCAAAACCAAGAGTTGGACATTCAACTGACTGAGCTACCCACGTGCCCCTAAAATGGACAAAGGATTTAAGTAGACATTTCTTCAAAGAAGATGTACACATGGCACAAAACACATGAAAAGGTGATCAACATCATCAGTCATAAGTAAAGTACAAATCAAAACTACAATGATATCATACCCATAAGGATGGCCACTATCAAAAAACAGAAAATAATGTTGGTAGATGTGTAGAGGAATTGGAACCCTTACACACTGTTGGCAGACATGTAAAATGGTGCAGCCACTATAGGAAACAGAATGGCAGTTCCTCGATTAAAAATAGAATTATCGGGGGAAAGGGCGCAGGGTTTGAAACATGGCGGACGATGTGGACCAGCAACAAACCACCAACACCGTAGAAGAGCCCCTGGATCTCATCAGGCTCAGCCTGGATGAGCGAATTTATGTGAAAATGAGAAATGACAGAGAGCTTCGAGGCAGATTACATGCTTATGATCAGCATTTAAATATGATATTGGGGGGCGCCTGGGTGGCTCAGTGGTTAAAGCCTCTGCCTTCGGCTCAGGTCATGATCTCAGGGTCCTGGGATCGAGTCCCACATCAGGCTCTCTGCTCAGCGGGGAGCCTGCCTCCTCCTCCTGACTCTCTCTACCTGCCTCTCTGCCTACTTGTGATCTGTTTGTCAAATTTAAAAAAAAAAAAAAAATCTTTAATATGATATTGGGAGATGTGGAAGAAACTGTGACTACTATAGAAATTGATGAGGAAACATATGAAGAGATATATAAATCAACAAAACGAATATTCCGATGCTTTTTGTCCGGGGAGATGGTGTTGTACTAGTTGCCCCTCCATTAAGAGTTGGCTGAAACAAAGAATTTATCGTGTCTGGAATATAGGAGTTTTTGTATGATTGCCTCTTTAAATGTAGAAGACATTCAAAAAAGAAACCTGCGTAAATTTTGATATTAAGAAGTGACCAAGGATTCTTCCACTCCTGAAATAAGTTGATTTACAGATAACTCAAAAATTCTTAAGCTAACGGGCATTTTAATTTTTTTTTCCAATGCTTTCAATAAATGTGATCACCAAGATGCAGAAAAAAAAAAAAATAGAATTATCGTTATCATTCATTAATTCCACTTCTGGGTATATACCCAAAAGAACTGAAAGCAAGGTCTTGGGAGACGTTTGTACACCCATATTCATGGCAGCACAGTTCACACACAACAGCCCAAAGATGCAAGCAATCCAAGGTCCATCATTGGAAGAGTGAATGAACAAAATGTGGTATATACATAGACTGGAATAGTCACCCTTAAAAAGGAACGAAATTCTGACACACGCTACACCATGTTTGAGTCTCGAGGACATTATACCAGATGGAATAAGCCAGTTACAAAAGGCAAACATTTTATGAATCCACTTATATGGGATTATCTAGAGGAGTCAAATATATAGAAACAGAAAGCAGAATGGAGGTTGCCTGAGGTTAGGAGGAGGGAGAATAGGGAGTTGCTGTTTCATGTGCAAGAAGTTTCAGTTTTGCAAAAAGTCCCAGAGACTGGTTACACATAACGTGAACATACTTTCCACCACTGAACTGGACACACAAAAGCACCCAGGGGGCTCAGTCAGCTGAGCATCTGACTCTTGATTTTGGTTCAGAGACCCACGTGGGGCTCCACACTCAGCAGACAGTCTACTTGAGATTCTCTCTCCCTCCCCCCACGCATACACTCTCTTTCTTGATCTCTAAAAATAAATGAATGTTGGGGTGCCTGGGTGGCTCAGTGGATTAAGCCT